CATTTGCAGTACAATTTGGGGAACATTTGCGGCTCTGTACAGCTGAACAAAATGGCAGAGGGCAAGGAGCACAAATTCTGAGGCTTCCCAGAGGCTTCCCAGTCTTTCATATATAGCCACAGCAAAGGAAATAGCAATGTGTAATGATACAACTTGTGCCTGAGCCTGAACCCAAGTCTGTTACATTTGCACAATATAACATCAGAAATTTCACCGACACGAGTAATCTGTTAGACAGCCTGTAAGTGAAATTGTTAGTTATTACTTTTATTCTATTTTTGGGGTGGTCCGTAGAGGGGGTCCATAGGGGTAGTCCGTGGACCCATCTGTAGGGTAGTCAGTGGACCCGGGCCGCAGTGGGGGTCCACCAACCGGGGGTCAGTGTTTTCAGGTTACCCTCTTCTGTATTCTATGCAGTTAGACCGGAGTGAACATTACTTCACAGACGGTATAGAAGTCAGCTTCCACAATCAAGTAAGTATACTCTAAAATTTGAGTGATGTATAGACAAATTAACATCCAGGAGACTGTGTAGATCTACTTTAGAGATTTACTGTCCAATCATGTCAAACACAAGTTATGTCAAACAAGCATGGTGGCTGGTAATGTATGTAGAGTTTTATTTTGCTTCTAGAGACAAGATATGTAAACATCTGAATCAAAACTTGAAAAAAATATAAATTGTACCTGTCAACAATCCTTTTGAATATATCTGCTTGCTAGTGAAATTGACACAAACAATTGCCAAGATAGGAATAAAATACTGTGGTTTCCATTTCCAAGAAAGAAAATCATGGTTACTTTTATTGTCTATGTTACGATCTGCACTACCCTTTTTAATTTTGTTACTGTAGTTTGCTAAAGGTACTTTTTATCAGGTGGGAGGTGTGATAAAAAGACAGGGATTTCAAACATTTATTGCTTTATCCATGAAAAGAGAAGTGGTGGGTCTTCTGTAGGTATGTGAAAGGGGTTTAAAGCTGGAAGCTACATGCATGTGACAGGGTAACATTTTCTGGAAAAAAAAACACTATACAAAATGGGAAAGGATTTGCACCTTGGGGCAGGGCATCCTTGTATGAAACTTTGTTAAGTCTGTTCCCTCTCCCCCTGGGCATAGTTAATTATATCAAGAAAATTTATATTGTAAATAAAAACATGCCCTTCACTTAAGGTTCAAAGTCGAAACAAAATTGAACATTTTTGGTACAAGATTTAGCAGGGGGTTTTCATGGCAGAGTATTATTTTCAGCTAAATGTTTTCAAGTAGCCCTTTCTAGGAAGGATGCTGAAAACTATCTGAAATGATTCTTGTAATATTTCAAGAAATACCTTCCTCTCTTTTCCATTTACCAGCTAGTTGAAATAAAATTGTTTACATTTGCCATGGCATGAAATAAACAAGAGTTTGGCAATATCCGTGTCCCACCAAAGTAGAATTGTGCAAAATATTCTTGGTATTCTTAAAATGATTGCCTTAAAATTATGACTGTCAAAACCGTGTTACATACTTTCTGCATAATTGCAATGTAGCTGTTTCATAATGCAACACTTGAATGTTAACTGAACAAGGACCTCAACCAAATTACCTTGACCCAAAATGCACTGCTGACTCACGAATATTATACATATTATAACCAACTCCTCTGACTGGGTGTCAATTTGGGACTGGTGAATATGGAGAATTCCCATTTAGTGGCTTCACTGTGCAACAGACTGTAGAAGTTATTTGATACTGTTCTCCCAGAGGAGAGCTGGGAACTATGATGACATGTACAATAACAATGTTCCAGTGCCAATCAAAATAATATATTCCATTATAAAATTTATAAGCAGGCTGTATAAACAGCCTGTAATTTAATTTTTGTATACTTACCTAGTTACACTGTACATGTACTTCTTGTGCTTTCAAAAAGTTATTTCAAATATTATCAACGATAAACTAAGTATATTGAGTAAATGTAGGCAGGCACATGTATGCTCTGCGGACCTATATTTTGCCTTGTCGTGGATTATTTAATGTTCCAAATAACTTCCAATACTCCCAATCCAGCAATTCCTATTTTTTGTTTGACTACTTTTTCTAGACTAATCCAATTCATCCTTGAGCTGGCTCACAAGAGCCTTTGATTTATGCACAAGTCAAACAACATATGCAATGAACGAAAATGAAAATTTTGTGCAATTCACTAGCTATTTCTATGGAAGAGCACTGCACAGCTGAATCCACTACTTTGATTAATCTCCTGTCTCCCTACAGGGATTAGTATGAGCAGCACGCATTAAACTGTTACTTGCAGAGTCTTTCAGCTATTCCTACAAACACCCCAGGCAATAATCAACAATAATATGTATAATCAACTTCTATTAATGTAAATCTAGTTCCAATTTGGCAATTTTAACACCATCTTTTCCGTGCAGGTGAACACTGTAATTCGGCATGTAATTGCCTCATAGGGGTGCTGAATGGTAAATGCAAGACTTAGCGAGAGGGGGAAACTAGTGTTTTTCTTTGTGAGCCCGAGACATTTTGACTTTTTCAATTACGAGACTGAGACTTCAAAGCGTTATAAGATGTTCAGATGTCAGAATTAGTATTTGTGCTTGACACTGACTCTTGTTAACGTTAGAAACAATGTTAATAAAACTTCGACCAAACAACTTTGGCCTTCATCAGTTTTTGAAAAGCCAACTGAGTGACGACTTTCTAACGGTTCACAGACCTGCACGTGCTACGCCAGCAAAAACATAACAAATGACCGACCTCTGCATGTCATGTTCAGATGTCATTTAAGCTTTTATAAAAAAAATAAACAAAATGGTACTTCACGACTTTCTTAAGCTTGAAAAAAAGTGAGACTGCCAGTCACACATAATCACTAAAAAAATTAGACTGCAAGACCCGTGAAATTCAGCAAAAATTTTGCGAGACCCATGGTTTTTGAAGGACCATTCACCACCCCTCATAATCTGTTAAATCTCTCACTTTCAGCTGTGCCTACTTCAAGGATACTTTCTCAGTTTTTGAGAACATTCCCTCTGGCATGAAAATTTGGGTCCTACTTTTATGTGTCATTGAGCTTCAGTCCAAATTGAAAATAAATGTTTCCTTTTCAACGTTGTTTGATTCGGTACATGTATTTCGTTCCCTGGGATGAGAACAGTCAATGAACGTTTGTCAAAGGAATGAAATGATGAACTTCTCCTTAATAAAAATGTTTGGAAGTTGGACACAGCTTTTCAAATCAGTTGGAGAAAAAGCAGAAATTCCTCAGGGGGCTTGGATGATCATGGTGCAATATGGATATCTTGTGGAATCACTCATTTTAGTCAGAATACAGGAAGACCATTATATTCTCTACAGCATTACACCCAACTAGGAGGTAACACGCCTTAAATCGTAGGATAAAACTCGTAAATCGGGAACCGCCTCAGCAAAATTATCAGGCAAAATTCAGGACACCGTGACAGGAGAGGCATCCACAGTTGAAGTTTAAAGGTCAAGCAAATATGTGCAAATATGTTTGTGGTCATTTTCTTTCATTTCTGATCATCCCATAGTGATCTTTGCCTTGCATACACTTGCTGCTCTGGGAATCCCAAGTAGAACTGCACTTGATTTACTGGCAGTGCTGAATTTAAAGGGGGCTTAGGTGTTGGATAAACATGAGACTCTAAATGAGCAGAGGGATCTACCCAACAAGTACATTCTATTACAAAGAGAACTACTACATGGAATTCTTGTACTGCAGACCAGGTGTACTGGGTGATACATGAAAACTGCAAAGTGATAGTGTCAGGCAAAATAGCCGGTGGGTGAGGGTACATTCTGTGAGTTAGCTTGTCATAATTTTGATCTGTAGCATTGTAAGCAAGATTGAGGTGACTATGAGGCCACAAATGTGGGACAATACTTTGACTAGTCAATTTATTGGTCTTCTCAGACTTCAAACTGATACCTCGAGTACCCTTCTTGTTGAATGAACTAGAAGACCGGGCAAGTCAATCTATTACTTCAGAAACCCTCACATGTAAGAGGCGGTTAGCCTGTAAGTGGTTTCTCGTCAACAAAAGCTGAAGGGTGTTTCCAGTAACCACAGATTCCATTCAGGCAGTCAAATTCCGTGAGTGAATGTTCTGCTTAAGTTGGTGTTCCACTTTTCACAGGGCTTAAAGATCAGTCTAGCTTTGTCGCTTGCTTGCAGTGTTTGACCTCCTTAATCTCCACTAATCAGACCAACAAGCATTGAAGACTTACTACAGTGTTGGCTGGCACCTTATGCATGTGGCTCTGGGGAAGATTTGAAGCTGTCATGAAATTTTCCAAGATTGTCGTTGTTATCTATCTCATGACCTCCATGCAATGACCCTGCAATGCTGCATAATCATGAGCAGGAGGACTGAAAATGTAAACTTACTGAACCACGATGAAACAGTCACAGAAAGTAACTGAAAAGCACTCCCTAACTAATCAGGGGTTCTAAACTGATGTGAAAACAGATATGTTCCCTGATAAAGAAATCAGGGTCATGTGACCAATCTTTTTGACTCAGAAAATTAACTATTTTTAGTTCAGCAAAATATAACAAGGATTGGGATTTATTCAGTCAAAGGTGTACGCTTGTAAATTATTTCTCTAATACCTGTTATGCCTTCAGAACAAGGACAGGACAAAATAGTCATGCAAAATATTATAGTCACATGGGATGAACACTTCACCAATGACTTGATTTTGATTTTGTTTGCTTAAAGGTGAATGTGTTGATAGTGAAAAATCAAGTCACTCGTGGGATATTTCACTACATCTAACAAATGAACTTTGCATTAATAGTTTTCACTGTTCTTTTGTATAATTTGTACTTTGCATACTGTGCTGTGCTGTTACAAAGAAAGCACCTGTTGGGGGAAACTGGGAGAGCTCTAAATCAAATTAATGCAAACCATAAAATTATGCAGAGAAATAACAGACTGTCATTTTTAAGACTTTGCTCTTTTTTAAGGTGCTGTACATTTTCTTTTGTGGTCTGTGGTAATAAAGCTCCTTCAGGATGAGGAACCTTTGATTAGAGAACAGATGGTTGAAGCATTTTCAACTTGGTTGAACGGTATCCACAATTCCGCACTAGGTGAGTAAACAGAACCTGCCATCTTTTACCACATTCACGTTAGATTGAATAAAACTTAGCTTACCATGAAATGAGTTCACATCAGGGAGTACATTACTTGAACTGTGATGGACACATGTGTATTCTGAGCATAATTGAATGTGCATCTTAGTTTTGATCTAACAGAGACTGGAGAGGAAACAAATTAATCCAACACCAAGTTGGAGCTTCATTTTCAGATGTACATGTACATGTACATGTATCATAATGATTCAATTTCACAACCTGAAGTGGATCTTGTGTACTTCAGGCATCTGTGAGCTGAGTCGTCATCAGAACACTTGTTGAAACGCTTGGCAAGATCAGTAATATCTGCATGTAGTTGGGAGTCTAATGAAGATAGTAAGAAATGTATGAACATTTTAAAAAACAATTTTTTCCCACCCTTTTGTTTGAGAGGCATATTTAATGTGGTATTTACCTAGAACGCAATTCAAGGGTTGAAGGCACAAATGTAACAACCAGTCACAAATGGGTAATCCGTCCAGTTCTGTTCCCAACAAAGTTCCCAAATTATGTTGCATATGTCTGTATTCTAGCATATACCTTAGAAAAGGATTTGACCCTTTAAATGTTACTGTATTAGCTTATAGTGCATTTCTCTGGGATGATCAAGATTCCAAAACTGTTGTATTTTGTATTCTCCTACATGTTATTACTTACTTCACTAGTTCACTTATTTATCCTCTTCATCCTGGCTGGGACATAAGGCCACCCTCTCCTAATTGCCTTAGTATTTTAGATGATGCCAGTGCTAAATTTCAACTTAAGGTACAAGAATCTATTTGTATCCATTGTGTTAAGCTTCCTTTGAAAACTGTTGTCTGGACCGTTCATTTCTTTTTGTAAAAATGAATAGACATATTGCTGCCTGTACTGTATTCCTGCATTTCCAACCTGCCATGTTTTGTTTAAGTTCTCTGCTGTTCTTGTCAAGTTTGTTTGCAACCTACCTCTTGTTCTTGTTCTTTATAGTGCCCATCCCAAAGCTATGACACAGTCATTTTCTCATGCTCTCCTCAGAAAACATGTCCCTTCTCTGAAACACGTATACAGAAACAAGATATTTAAAAAAAATGAGTAAATACAGTGGAACCCCACCTTATGGTCACCTTGTTAACACGGTCACCTTGTCATTAGGGCCACCTTTTTAGTGAAGAGTGCACTATTGGGGTGGTTTAGGAGGTTGTTTTTCACTAAGGCACTAATTCTATAACGCCCTAAGGTGTGATGATGATGATGATGATGCCTTTTATTACTCCGTCTCGGAGCAGAGGCCACAGATAAAGTGCCTCACCCTCCTCTGTCTCTGGCCATCTGTTCAATCTGATTCCAGGTTTAGCCTTTTAACTGGATGATCCTTTCTGTGTCCCTTTTCCAGGTGTTTCGTGGTCTTCCTCTCCATCTACTTCCCTGGGGGTTCCAGCCCAGTGCTTGTCAGGCTATGCAGGTGTTTGATCTCCTAAGTATATGTCCGATCCATGTCCACTTTCTTTTCTTAATTTGTTCTTTGATGGGTAGTTGACCTGTAGTCTCCCACAAGGTAGCATTGCTGATAGTATCTGGCCAGTAAATCTGGAGGATTCTGCACAGGCATCTGTTTATGAAGGTCTGTAGTTTTGACACGGTCTTCTCTGTCATTCTCCATGTTTCTGAACCATAGAGTAGTACGGGCTTAACATTTGAATTGAATATTCTAATTTTAGTGGCTGTTGTTATTTCCC